AAATATGCCAGAAAAACTATGGGACTGTACTTAACGCTTCCCGAACTTATTATGGAGGTCCTTATAGAGCTTTTTTTTTTTAAAAAAAATTAGGAGCTCTGAAGCACCTGATCAATAGGCTAAAACACACGAAGAACAAATAAATTTGCGTAATTCCTAAGAGTTGACTTTTGAGTACAAAAATATATCTGAAAAAAATGGTGGGACTGTACACAACACTTCCCAACTCATTACAGAGGTCCTCATAAAGCTCTTTTAGAAAGAAAAAAATTGGGTGTTTTAAGGCACCATATCTATGCGAAAAACCTTAATAGTCGAGTAATTCGTTAAAGTTGGCTTGTAAATGCGAAAAAATCCCTGAAAAAACAGTGGACATGTATGTAACGCTTCCCCAACTCATTACAGAGGTCTTCATAAAGTTTTTTCAGAAAAAAAATTTGGCTGCTCCAAGGTACCAAGATCCATGGGAATACACACGAAAAATCCAAGAAAGTCGTGTAGTTCTACAAACTTGACTTGTAAATGCGAAATTTTGCTTGGAAAAAATTGTGGGACTGTATGTAAAGCTTTCCAAACTCATTACGAAAGTCCTCAAAAAGATTTATCACAATAAAATTGGGTGATTTGAGTCGTCAGACATAGGCTAATACAAACGAAAAATCAAGAAAGACGCGTAATTCCTAAAAGTTGGCTTGTAAATGCGAAATTATGCCTGAAAAAAATGGTGGAATTGTACATAACACTTCACCAACTCATTACGAAGGTCCTTGTAAAGTTCATCTAGAAAAACTTTTTGGGTGCGCCAATGCGTCCGATCATGGGCTAATACACACAAAAAACTAAGAAAGTCGTGAAATATTTAAAAGTTAGCTTATAAATATGAAAAATTGTCTGAAAGAAATGGTGGAATAGTACGTAGCTGCCCAAACTCATTACAGAGTTCCTCAAAAAAAAAATTAGTAAAATAATTTTGGTGCTCCGAGACACTAAATTCATGGGCTTAACACACGAAAAAAAATGTCACGTAATTTTTAAAAGTTGCCTGTGTGAATGTGAAAATATGCCTGAAAAAAAGGTAGGACTGTACGTAACACTTCCCAAACTCATTATAGATGTCCTCATAAAAATATAAATTAAAAAATGGGTGCTCCAAGATGTTAGATCCATGGTCTAATATACACAAAAAATCAAGAAAGTCACGTAATTTCAAAAGTTGGACATGTAAATGCGAAAATATGCCTAAAAACTATGGACTGTATGTAACGCTCCAACTCATTACGGAGGTTCTCAATAAGTATTTTTAGAAAAAAAAAATATGGTGCTCCGAGGCGTCATATCCATGGATTAATACACATAAAAAATCAAGAAAATCGCAAAATTCCTAAAACTTGACTTGTAAATGCGAAAATATGCCTGAAAAAACAGTGGGACTGTACGTAACGCTTCCCCAATTTATTACGGAGGTCCTCATAAAAAATTTTCAAAAACAAATTGGGTTAAAGAAGGGGCCAGATCCATGAACTATTAGAGGCGACTAATACATGTTTTAGCGGCGATTATTGTTGTAAAAAATATTGTTATTTAGTGGCGACAAATATACCTTTTAGAGGTGATTTAAGTCAACACAAATACAAACTTTTAGTGCGACTTATATATGTCTTAGCAGCGATAATTATTGTCACAAATGCTTATTTTTGGTGGCAACAAATAAACATACCTTTATGGAGAGAATTGTTGTCAAAAATATTTGTGTTTAGTGGCAAAAAGTATACCTTTTAGCGGTGACTTAAGCTTGCCACTAATAGAGATTTTTAGTGGTGACATGTTTTAACAGCGGCAATTGTTGTCACTAAAGCTCCTTTTTAGTGGCAACAATATATCTTCTAACGGCGATAAAGTTGCCACTAATACTGACTTTTAGTGGCGACATATAAATGTTTTGGCAACGATAATTACTGCCACTAATACACACTTTTAGTGGTGGCTGATATGTGTTTTAGCGGCGACTACATTGCCACTAATACAAACTTTTAGTGGTGACTTATCTATGTTTTAGCGGCATTTAAAGTTGCCACAAATACCGACTTAGTGGCAACATATATATGTTTTAGCGGCGAACATAGTTTCCACTAATACGGACAATTAGTGGCAACATATATATATTTTCGCGGCGACAATAGTTGCCACTAATACAGACTTTTAGTAGCGATTGACATAAGTTTTAGCAGCGTTATAGTTGCCACTAAAACAGACTTTTAGTGGCAACTTATATGTTTTAGCGGCGACTACAGTTGCCACTAATAACGACTTTTAGTGGCGACATATATATGTTTTCGCGGCGCCTGATATATCTTTTAGCGGCAATTATAGTTGCCACTATTAATGACTTTAGTGGCGACATAGATATGTTTTAGCGTCAACTATAACTGCCACTAATATAGACTTTTCGTGGCGACTTGTAAAAGTTTTAGCGGCGACTATTGTTACCACTAATACGGACTCTTAGTGGTGAGTGGTGACATTTATATATTTTAGCGGCGACTATACTTGCCACTAATAGTATCGACTTATATATCTTTTAGCGGCTACTATAATTGCCATTTTAGTGGTGACATATACATGTTTTAGCCGATTAAGTGTGCACTAATACAATCTTTTAGTGGCGACTTATATATGTTTTGGCGACGTTAAATGTTGTCACTAATGCTTGTTTTTAGTGGCAACAAATTTACGTTTTTTCAGAAAAATATACGTAATGTTCCCCCTATTCATTACGGAGTTCCTCATAAAAAAAATTCAGAAAAATATTTTGGGTGCTCCAAGGCGCCAAATCCATGGGCTAATACACACGAAAAAATATAAAAGTTATGTACACATTTCAAAACTGATAAAATTGCCTAATTCCTATAAATTGCCCCTGAATGCCCAAAAATGACTCAAAATGATGAAATTGTACCTACTACTCCCTCAACTCCTTACGGAGGCTTCATAAACGTTTCGCAAAAAAATTGTCTGGAAACCATATCACCATAATATTCATTGGTTAACACACAAAAAACTTAGAAAATTGTCTGATTTCTGTAAATTGGCCTCTGAATGCAAAAAAAAAATGGTGAGAATGTATGTAGCACTCCTCAAATTTCCTATGGAGGGTTCCGTATAGATTTCACAAAGAATTCATCCAAAAACTAAATCACCAAATTATTTATAGACTTACACACGAAAACAAAGAAAATTGTCTTATTCCTTTTATTTGGCCCCTAAATGCCCAAAACTGTCTCAAAATGTTAAAACTATACATTTTGCTCCCCCACCTCCCTACGAAGTGTTCCGTAATGTTTCATAAAGAGGTCATATGACAGCGATATCACCAAAATATTCATGGGCTAACACACAAACAATTGAAAAAATCGCCTAATTTATGTAAATTGGCCCTTGAATGTCCAAAAATGACTCAAAAATGATGAGATTATACATACTGCTCACCCAACTCTCTACGAAGGGTTCATGTAAAAGTTTCGCAAAGAAATCTTTCGAAAGTCATATCACCAAAATATTCATAGGCTAACACAAGAAAACTGAGAAAATTGTCTAATTCTTGTAAATTGGCTCCTAAATTCCCAAAAATGTTTCAAAAATGGTTAGACTGTATGTACTACTCCCAGGACATCCTACTCAAGGTGTCGTAAAGGTTTAGCAAATAAATCATCGGAAGCCATATCACTAAAATATTCCTGAGCTAATACACACGAAAAAACAGAGAAATTTGCCTAATTTCTATAAATTGGCCCCTAAATGCCCTGACTCGAAAAGTTGTGAGGTTGTACATATTGTCCCCCAACTCTCTATGGAGATTTATGTAGATGTTTCGCAGGATAATCGTCCAGAAGCCGTATCACCAAAATATTCATAGGCTAATACACATAAAACAATGAAAAAATCATCTAATTCCTATAAATGCCCAACATGACTAAAAAATAGTGAGACTGTACGTATTGTTTCCCCAAATTCATCTGGAGGGTTCTGTAAAGATTTCGCAAAAAAGTATCAGAAAGTCACAACACCAAAATATTTATTGGCAAACACACACGAAAAACGAAGAAATCACCTAATTCCCGTAAATTAACCCTTAAATGCCCAAAATTGATTCAAAAATGATAAGACAATACGTACTGCTCCCCAACTCCCTACGAAGAGTTCCGTAAAAATTTCGCAAAGAAATTGTTTAGAAGTCATATCACCAAAGTATTCATAGGTTAAACACATGAAAAACTAAAAAAATTGTCTAATTCTTATAAATTGGCCCCTAAATGCCCAAAAATGACTCCAAAATGGCGAGAACCCTACGGAGGGTTCCATAAAAGTTTCGCATAGAAATTGTCTGGAGGCATATCGCCAAAATATTCATGGACTAATATACACGAAAACTGAGAAAACCGTTTAATTCCTGTAAATTGACCTCTAAATGCCCAAAAATGACTCAAAAATGAATAGATTGTACGTATTGTTCCCTCAACTCCATATGGAGGGTTTTGTGAAGGTTTATCAAAGAAATCATTTGAAAGCCATATCACCAAAATATATTGACCCCTGAATCCCTAATAATGAGTTAGAAAATGGTGAGACCATACATACTGTTCCCTAACTCCCTACGGAGTGTTCCATAAATTTCTTTTTTCGAGACTCTTATCTCCAAAAATAAAAGGCATGCATTTCTCTACAAAACTAAGAGTGTCATTTTGCACAAACTTTGAGCTCAAATAGAATCGGTCACACATGTTACGGAAAATTTATAGATATTACACACAAAATTTAGATAACCCTAAATTACTGTTTCATGATCCATTAACTCCAAAAAGCAATGTCTTCCCTAGAAAAACTATGAGCATCATTTATGAGTCAAAGTATTAAGCATTACATGTTATGTTATATAATCACGAATTCATGTTTCAAGATCCCAAAACACACACACATCATTAAAGAAAAACGAAAAAAGAAACTTCAGTCATGGCAAGGTCTAAAATGTCAGAACATTAAGCATTACATGTGCTTAGGACGTACAGCCGTACGTTCGGGGCATAAGCCTCACAAAACTAAGCCCCACACAAAATAGCATATTAGTATCATTTTGGTAGCACAAAATTTGTATCCACGTTCCCACATACAGACCTAAATCAGTTTTTTCTCACTTAGAAAGCAGATGATAGAATGGATCTTGGTTGTGATGACAAAAATTAAAACAATTGTTATGCTCTAGCTAGTATAACATTTTTTTTAAAGATGCAGAAGATCAATCCTTGACAGTAGTCCTCAATATCCTCACATCATGGATTGGTCTGCATTGATATCAAATGGAACTGGAATTAGAGCTTTCATACTCAATAGTACGATTTTAAAGATAGGACTAACAAACGTTAAATGCATGGATGAGTTTTTTCTGCATTCAAACATATAACAGAGAAGGACAAGTTGACAAGAACATTTACATACAAAGTAATAAATTATCTAGTCTTTCTACAAATTTCATTCTCCAAACAAAGACGACCTTGATTATTGATGTTTTCTGTACACATAATATTTTTTGCAATGCTAGAGCATGACATTTGTTCTCATTCTAATGTAAACACAAATATTATAAGGAAGCACATTACCTGTCAGTATTATCAGTCTGTACACTGCCAAGTCTCTTGACAATTTCCATTCCCCGACAAACTCTTCCAAAAATAGTATGTTTCCCTAACATCACATTGAACGAAAACTCATCAGCTAATAGTGTGTTACAACAGTGCACCATAAGAAAAAACTACAAACAAAGAAGAGATCACAACTGTTCTAGTCAGGCTTATGCTAATTGCAGACTAGAGAGACACATCAACAGAGCTGGGGCAAGAGTATTAGATTCAGCATAACCAAGGTCTTAAAATATATTTTCTATCATTGTAAAAATGAGAATGCCGTCACAAGAATTGATCTTGGAATCATGTACCAAATATTTTAAGGCAGCCTTGACATGGTAGCTCATGAATTTTAAGACAATCTAGGAAAGGAGAGAAGATTTCTTCCCCCAACTTGGTTTGGTATGAATTCATCATCCTCAATAGAAATCAAAAGAGAGCCAGCATCTCATCATGGAAGTCATCCATGAACTTAAGCTCCTCACATACATGGATAGACAACCATGACTATCCTCCACACATACATGGATAGTCATCCATGAACTTAAGCTCAATCATGTTGACAAGGGGATTCATCTGAATTTTTGGAACACCTTTTTATCATCACTTCAAGTTCCATTAGAAATTATTTTTTACTATTTGATATACAAACAGAAAAATAGTGTTAACGGAGCAAGGTACCGAAAATAGATCAGCACATGCACTACAGCCAGCTGATTCAACATCAAAGAGCCTATTCATACAAATTGATGGAAAACAACCTGGATATGTATACTTACCATCAAGTGACTGTGCAGGTGCCAAGGTGATGAAGAATTGACTTCCATTTGTATTTGGTCCAGCATTAGCCATGGATATGATACCTGCTCCTGTATGCTTTAGCTGTGGGTTTATCTCGTCTTCAAACTTCTGGCTGCAAGGTTAACTTAAGAAGTCACTAAAAGGTCAAGTATGCAAAAGATGATCTTCTTCTTCACTATGTCAGACAGACAAGTTTATGTATGACTATAAATGATAATCAATAACAGTAAATGACACAACTATTAGATGCCCCAATTAAATCTTCACCATCAGTCCCTTGTTAATGATGTATCTTCTTCGAAGCCACTGGAGATAATAAACTAGATGCAGAACGGCAAGAGCTTAAGCATGTGGTCAAAAATATTACGTTTGTTTGCAGCAACCTTGAACAGATAGCCCTTTATTTACATTTATTTGACAATAGAAACGGTTTTAATATACCTTTAACAGATGTATGCCAGCAGTAATATAACTATGTATTTGGCATGCTACTTCGAGCACAAACTCTAGTCACGAGAGATTACCCATTCAGTTTCATCTTGTCTCTCCTTTTATCCTTCTTTTCAAAATTTTAAGAAAAATAGATAATTCTATAGCTACTTTCCACAATTGATAATTCATATATAATAACATCGATTTATAAAATATATAAGATAATCCAGGTTGTTAGTGCAACTGCTGAAATAATAATACTTTAAGGGTCGTTTGGTAGGATGCATTAGTTTTGTGTATTACTAATACCTTGTTTGGTACACTTCTACAACCTTCGTATAGCTATTGCAAGCACTAGTTATACACTTTATTTGATATTATGTCATATACAACTAATACATGATATGATATTAGCAATGCAAGGGGTTTTAATATATGCATTAGCATGATTAAAGACACAATTGTCTCTCAAAAACCTTTTCCACATCCTTTCCACCATATTTGTGGAGGGTATTTTTGTAAACAAATACTTTTTAGAAATTATATTATGCATGTTATTTTAATACACCAAACCAAACAGTGCATAAGAATAATCCCAGCATTACTAATACGCCATATTCCACATTATTTTTATGCACCGTACCAAACAACCCCTAAGAGAAAGAAGTTATGGCTAAGTGGTATTATCCTTTGCATGACTTCCTGGTTAGGGAAAATCCATTGGAACAAAAACCTTGATCAAGGAAAAGAGAGTACAACATGTAATCTAATCCCGTTGATGAAAACATATATTGTTTTGGAGACGACACATTGCAATCTTGTATTTATTGGCTTATCAAATGTTGAGGTTGCCAATGCCCCAGTGAACTTATTACATTATCACTTAAACAAACTTGTTGAACAACTATTCACCAGATCTTTTGAATACAATGAGTGAAATTGTTTTGGTGAAATGTGTTTCGGTCTATTATTTCTGTATGATTTAAATAATTAATAACCATTTTTTATTTGTTAAATGCCATGATATGATTTTGCCGCCATACGTGAATAAATAGCCTATCTGAGATCAAGCTTCATGTGGATCGAACAAAAAAAATTCCTCTACGTAACCAATTAGCGGTGAGTTGGATTAATTAATAAGACAAACTCATATCCGAATTGTTCCTCTAAGATATCTAAACATGTCCACAACAAATCCCTGTGAATTTTCTATAGGACTAAAACTTGCTAATAAACTTCCAGGAAAAGCTATTTATGACTGTGTAGATCATTACTCATTGATCTTCCCAAGCCCCCTGCTTCCTGCAAATTCACCCCACATCTCCTCCCTGACAACATTTCTGCACTTCATAATGCTGCTATAGCCGATTTTTCTGATGCGCAATGATGAAATCTGTTCTTAAAAAGGAATTGGGAAATTGCAAGATTTGGTTCTATGTTACAGTCCCAAAGCACAATCCTCCCAAATAAACACAGGGATGCTTTATTATATGAAGGTTCCATTCAGGTGGAATCTTCTAAGTTGTTTATAACATGTCATTGACTTTTTCCGACATTGATCTTTGGTCTTGGGGGAAGATTTGACACAAGTCACAACTAAGCACCCTTTAAGGTTTCTTGTTTTACTTGGCTTATGGCTAAGGAAGCAATGCCTCACTTAATCAAAGTCTCATAGAGGAGAAATGCAATTATGTAACGGCTGTTCCTTTTATAAAGAGAACCCTAAGATAGTTGATAAGATAATTTATCATATTTGGAGCATGTTGTTTGCCATTATGGACATCTCCTATAATAATAACTCCGTAGCCATATTGGATTTCTTACATAGTTGTAGAAGAGATAGTCTCAATAGAAGACACATCGGCTTTGGGGCAATATTCCCATGGTCATTTGGTGAACCATTTGGACCGAAAGAAACAATAGAATTTTCAAAGGTAAACCTGGAAAGATACATAGCCTTAAACACAAATGTATTTCTTTGCTAGCTTTTTTGGTACAACATGACCTTTATATATGATGTAGATACCATGTAGAAAAGATCGGAGCTTTGCACACTATTGTTAATTTTTAACATCATCCTTGTGTTGTGTTGTACCATTTATTAAAAAATAAATTGGCTTGTAAGTTTTTGAATGTCAACAATTTAGAAATGTATGAATTAAGTAGATTCTAAAGATATATTTATGCAAAATCAAGCTATTTATCAACATTGATGTGAATATAGGTTATTGCATTTTAATATTTTATTATGGTAACACTCTCTATACCATAAAACTCCACGCATGCTCATTCAATCTTTTTGAGATATTTGATAGATGGCAATAGGCAGCAGTGTTTTCCATCACATGAATACCATAGATATGGCATGCTGCCACACAAGAGCAATAAAGTTCATGTTCACTAGTTTTAATTATAATTCTTGGATCGCATAACATGAACAAAAGCAAGTTGGGATTAAAAGGTTGTCAAAACATGAAAGAGACATTCTTTTGGAAACAGACAAAAAAGGAAAGTAAGACAAACAAATTGAAACTGAAGAGGTAGTAGAAAGTACAAGTGAAACAAGAGAGGTAGAGTAAACTGTAAAGCTATTACAGATAGACTTGCATTACTTCTTAGCATCTTTTATTTAGAGTAAAGAGAGGCTCCTATTTTGTAGGAAACAAAAATGTTTGATCCCCAAAACTAACTAGATTGATTTCCACTTAACTTGCTCTCCAACAAGAACTAACTTTACTATCTACTCTCCAACAAGAATTGAATTAGCTATAATGCCCTACTTAGCCTACCTTCTTCTATCTCACATAGGATATCAAATGCAATTTGAAGTAAATACATACACATATAACACACTATTTACAACATCTACATACCCATAGATAGATTCTCCGCCTCTTCCGGTACCAGTTGGATCTCCACCTTGCACAATAAAATCCTATACCCAAATAGAAAATAAACCCATAAATGAAAATGATAAAACAATATAAATAAAGATCCAAACGCACAACAATCTAAAGACTCATTTGGTACGAGGGATAACTAATCCTGGAATAACTTGTTTCCGAACCAAATGAACCCTAAAATAAGAAAAAAAGCAAAACCTTAATGATTCTGTGAAACTTGACATTATCATAGTAGCCTCTTCGAGCAAGCTCTATGAAATTCCGGCAAGTTCTTGGTGCTTGTTTGTAATACATCTAAACAAATTGCAAAATTTCAACTTTATCATCATTATGCAAAAACACAACTTCAAAATCAACAAAAAGGAAGAAGAATAGAGTACCTCAAGTGTAAGAGAACCCATGGAAGTTTCTAGAGTGACCTCCGGTGGTCCTCCTTCTGCACTCGGCCACATCTCTGCTACACTCTCTCTTCAGTGAACAAATTTCAAATAATGGTGAAACCCTTGTCTTTAGCCCCAAATATATGAAGTAAAATATTGTATTATTAGTAATATATGATTTTATAATTTATATATAAATTTAATTTTTTTTAAGAATTTAAACAATCTTTTAAATTTGATATCGGCGGGGTTGAGTGAGTTAAAAAGATTTTTTTTTCCTTTTATTAAATTAAAAAATAATGTATTTATCTTCTTATTAATTTTTTTTATAAATAAATTAAAAACTTTAAAAATCAATTTTTCTCACAATTCTACTTTTTAATTTTCAATTCAGTTTTCATTAATTAGTTGTCAATTTATGTCAAATTTGATTGATTCATACATCATAAAGTAAGTTTTTTTGTTTTTTTTTATTTTTCTACTTCTCAAAGACAAGTGTTGCGAGGTTCAAAACTTGATAAATATAGGCTTACGTTTTTACTATTTTCACTTCATATATCATATTTTTGTGTAGGGGAGAGAGTTTAATATTATAATATGTATCTAATCTATACATCATGCAGTGCTCTCTCAAAGACAAGTGTTACGAGATTATTTTTTTCTCAATTTTATATAAGTTTTATGATAGAACTTTTAGCATCTTTTGATATATTTTGATTCACTGCCTCATAAACATGATATACAACAACCTTATTCACATTTGGTAATTGAATAACATATTCATTGTTTTAAATATTATTGTCTTTATCTTAAGTGGGATTCTATAAGATTTGATCAATAATGGCAAGATGTTCAAGAATGTTTTTCATCAAGTCGCTACTTTGGAGGTTTGAAGAGAACTTTTAATGAAGATTTGAGGCTCACAAATGTACTTTTCACACTCCAAGAAAGTTCAAGTATACATATTCAAGCTATACTCTCTTTGATCACGAAGATGAAATACTTCAAGGTTGTGAAAGGTCGATAATAATATTTACCATTTGAAAGATAGTGTTTCAGAGTGCGTTTTACTTGAAAAATAATTAAAATTTTATGACTCACTTGAAATACTTCAAGGTTGTGAAAGATCGACAATAATATTTACCATTTGAAAGATAGTGTTTCAGCGTGCATTTTACTTGAAAAATAATTAAAATTTTATGACTCACTTAAAAACTAATCAAAACCAACAAATTTGAAAAACTCAATTCAAAAACTAAACAAAAATCATTCTAATGCATAATCAAACAATAATAGAATGGTTTTCAAAATCACAAATTATGTATCAAGAGAATTTGTGTAGTAATAGGTGTTTGCTACAAGTCACATAGACATCATAAAAATGAAATATCACATAGCTTAGTTTATAATATAGGTAGAAAAAAGTACAAGAAAATTACAAATCAGAATATTAATTCTCACAATTCACCAATTGTAATGTTACAATTTTTTTACCTCTCCCTGTTTAGTGAAAAGTTACAAACACCAACACAACATTACAAACACACTCCCCCCTCATCCAAAATAAAAACATCATAATAAATTAACACTTACACAAAAGTACAATTACAAAAGTAACAAGAAGGAAATACAAATTACAATTTAATTTTTTTTGGTCAGTTAATGTCTCTTAAGAGCAATAGCAGACAACACAATCAAGATAAGCAAAAGCACAATTGTGATAAAAGCAGCCACAACAGCTCCACTAGTTGTTTGGCAAAAATCACCAAATTGGTTACAAAATGCAAGCCAATTAGCATCTTGGTTACCATTGTGTGCTAAGTATACTATGGCTGTTGATGCCCCTGCTGCTGATGTTGTCAATGTGATAATGACCTAAAAAAATGTGCACAACATTAATTAAAAAAAAATGATGTTTATATATATAATGATATTGTGTTAGTGGTTCATACAGTGTCAAAAGTACGTCATTTTAAAAGATAGTGTCAGATAAAGTAAAAGTGAAGGAGTATTTTGATAGTAATAATGTCTTACCGTGTCAAAAATAATGAGGAGCAATCTTGGAGCAACGACATGAGAGCGTGCAATGCACACTATAGAGAATGGTATGGAGAGGACTAGGTAGGCAACCACTATTGACATGGCTATCACAAAGAACCTACAAAATATGTCCAACAAATTAACCATTACATTAATAAAGTCATATATGATATTTGTATCATATATACACAAGTTTAAGTTATGTCTACTGAAAAAAATAAAACTAACTGTGAAATTTATCGATAATCCCTAGTTAATTAATTAGAAGCTAAATAGCTCTTAGCTAATTGAATTTTTTTATAATCCGTCATTAATCTGTAGCTAAATGAGATTAGCATGAGATTTTTATTGTTTAGCTATGAAATTTTGTTTGGTCACTAATTCTTTGTAGTCTAGTAGTGAATTATGTACGTCACTTTACATTATCACGTCACCTGAATGATATTTACACGTTAGCTTCACTAAGATGTGGAAATTGTAATCATGAAAATAAGACAGACAAGTTACTTACGTAAAAGTAGGAAGATCGTCATAACCAGCTTCGAATTGAAAGAATTGAGTGAAGAAAGGAAGAGTTTCTCCAGCAGTTGCCATGCCAACAGCAGCACCAATAGAAGTAGCAACAGATGCAATTCTCAAGATTAGATCAAAAATAGAAATTCCTTTCTTGTAATTACCAACTCTTTTATTATTTGCAACTATAGGAACACTTGATGAAATAGCATGAGATGGTGATCCTAAAAGTGGAGCTTTTCCTAATTTTCTTTCTAATTTGCTACTCTCTCCCATTTCAATTTTGGTTGACTCACTTTTATCCATTTTGATCTAAGAAAATTAATTTGTGGGGGTGATTTTGTTTTCAATTGATTGCTTAATGCCTATGATATATTTTGCTTGTTTGTGATGAGAATGATTAAGTGGAATGGACCTTATATAGTGCTTAAATCAAGTAAATTATTAGGAAAATAATTGTCATTTTTAGGCTAATGGAGCTAGCAAGGAGGTTAGTTGTTTAATTCTTTTAAGTATACTATATCTAGAATTTGATAGTGGAATTTTAAAAATCAATTCAACTTTTTATTTTAGTAAGATTTAGCTTTATTTAGCCAAAAAGAGAGAGAATAGTGGTTGTTCAATTCTATCAAAAAGGAGGGTGGTTGTGTAATTCTATTAAGCAGGCGGGGCGGAGCTAGTAAGGGTTTCGGGGGTCTCATTTGAACCCCTTTCGACAAAAAATTACATATTTTAATACATGGTTAAAATTTAAATTATGTAGATATTGAACTCTCTTCGACTTCTACATGTGTTTATTTTTTCATTTTTTGAAGTCGTTAATGAAAATTCTAACTTCACCACTGCTATTATGTATCTCGGATTTTGATAATGGAACTTTAAAAAATAATTCATAGCTTAAAAGGAGCAAAAGAGTGGTTGTTTAATTAGTTAGCATGGTAGTTTATTAGTAGTAAATCAACTTTTAAATTAGAAAGCAAAAAAGGTGATCAATGGGGCAGATAGAACAAGAATGATTGGTGGACCGAGTTAGAAATTAATTGGAATTATCATATCATATTACCTAATCTTATTATTATAGTCCTTTGACTACCTTTGTTACAATTAATTAAATAGAGAACATATTTTTCAAATAATGTTAAGATTATTATTTTTGCATGGATTAGTCAAGTCGAGATTAATTTAATTTATTCCCATGAGTTGACAACTAAACAACGAACTTTTCCCCTAATCCATTAAGCAAATTAGTTGAAATCAGTAGTCCAAACTAAAAGGTGCTTCTTATAATAAACTAATGGAAGTTGGATTATTGAGATATTTGAGCTTCATTAAATCCATCAATTCAATTTTTTCTTAACCGGACTTTTTCTATAATCAAGAAATTTCTGAAGTCCGATTCATAACTAGATACTAGACTTTTAGTGTATAATATCAACACATTATGTGTTGCATTCTTATTTGAGTAAAATTCACCAATAACTAATTTCAATCATGTTAATTAAAAAATAGTTGTTATCATAAAGAGTTTCGAATTCAACATGTGAAACTCGAGGATTTTACCATGAAATTTCACTTGAAATTCAAAATTTTCATGCTATTGACTATTTTTTAAAGACATGACCAACAATTGATCAATGAACGTTTAATTTTATTTCTCTTACCGCTAATCTAAAATCCTAAAGCTTTTAAACCAAGTGTTTAATGCATAATCTATACATCACATATCGAGCTCTACTAAGTACCACTAGATCGAAGTCCTGGGGATTTTTAATGTCAGAATGATTAAGATATTGTCTTTAGATCTGAAATCAAGATTGCTTGTTTTTCAACGTCTAAATATGCATATATAAAAAAAAAATTATGACAAGGGAAACCCGTAGCCGCTACCTTTTGGGTGCGCACAAGATAAAACCATCGCTCCTATGCAATAGCTCGCAAACCACACAAGAGAGGTAACCCGCACTATGCAAGCCTGGTGCAATGAACTCGATCCAAAAGGCAAGCTCCTTGCTTTCACTGGCAAGGGGTTTCGAACTTGAGACCTCCGACATGAAAGTCTCAAGCCCAAACTTTAAACATAATAAATATACAATTTCAATTATAAAAAATCATTCAAGATTAGAAAAAATATATAAATTTATTAAAACATGAAAGATTTATGTTTGCTAATGACAGTAGATCTGGTTTGTAGTGGAGTTGATGGTGATATGTGATGCCAGTGACTAGTAATAGCGACGGATAATAGTAATTGTTATGATGGAGTTGGTTGATGTTAATAGTTGATAGTAATGGCCGAAGAATGTATGGTGATAATTAGTAATGGTAAGGTGAAGGTAGTTAATAGTGTATGAAAAATGTACTGGTAAGAATGTATATAATATGTATATTGTTATGAAATAGTGAATATAAAATATGTAGGAAAAAAATTACCGATAAACTTGTATATCATATGTAGATATATGGTATGAAAAGTGAATATAAAGTGCATATATTAAATTTATTGATAAAAATGTATATAATAGGCATTATGTATATATAAAGTGTATAATACATATATAATAAATAAATATATTTGACTATTAAATGTCAATTGAATTTCTTTGACTAGCTCTCAAATGTTTAGGCCCAGAGTCCATTTGTATACTTGGCCCAAATTAAAATAATTTGCAATTTGTTTATGGTCTGGTATAGCTGTAAGACAGACCCTTGTATACTTGCAAAAATATGGAAAAATTACTTGTGTGAGTATTTTTTAAATAAATAATTATTGAGTTTAGCAATATTTTTAATTTATTATTATTTATAGCAATATATAACAATAATATGGTAAATTTTTAGTATGTACATTAAAAGTAATTATGCATGCAATATAGACGTATTATAAATATTTTTAAAATATATTATGCTCGTTGGTAAGAAATTGACACAATGTATTATAAGTATATTAAAATATGTGATAAATGAATTATTCATCAATAAAAATTGTATTATATGTGTTTTATAAATTATTCTCGGTAAGATGTATTAAAGCTATATTACATGTCTAAGTGGGAAAAAAAAATATTGTTATTATAAATGGTAAATATTTTCTTAATATACCATATTTACGTAAATTTCATCACACTATAAAAAAACAATATAGGAACATTAAAACGTTTAGTCACTTGAATCAAGTTTTGTTACCTAAAAATGTAAATAGGAGGTATATGCAATTTCTCAAACCACAAAATCATTATGCTTAAACTAGTAACTAACATGATTATGATCAAACCACAAAATCATTATGCTTACACTTGTAATTAACATGATTATGATTAATTATGAGATTTCAAAAATTATTCTCATGGTGAACTTTAGTCAAATAAAGTTAGGTAATAGGTATTTGTAGGTCTACATTGCATGTTGAATGCTAATTAGAAGGATAATTCCCATAAATTTAGCGGCTCGAGACCCTACGTACCCCTTCTTTCTATGTTGTTTTTTAGTCCTAATCACACTTGATAAATGTGTTCACATAAATCACAACATACTTTTTTTTCAACTTTCATTTTGGTGTCAAAAGCGTTATATACGCCTATATTCATGCTATCTCCCTAACTTTCCTTTTCTAATGTTTGTCTCACTTACAATTTTTTTTACTTTATTTGAAAATCAGACGCTTTGTCATAATAATTTCTATTACAACTTGAAATTGTTTGTAAAAGCTATAACCAAACATAACTTTATATTCAATTTCAACTTCAAAATTTTTAATAGAGTGAAAAGATATATGTAATATAATAATATATAGAAGCTAGTATATATTAGATCTAATCTATGACATTATATCAGTGACGAAATTTGGAATATTCAAAAATTTGATACAGTCTCTATAACATAGTTTTTTTTACCTACCAATATAATTTTGTGACGAAGAATGTTCAATTGACCACCTTTCGATCTGTGTAGCTACTATGCCTCTGCATGTGACTATCTATCAGTATGATATATTATATGTAGTAAACCCGGAGATATAAATCATATTCGTTTTTTTTTTCCAGTTTTTCATTCGATGTCTAATTCCATACGGTGTCTGATACCCTACCTCTTCTAATTTCTATATTTGTTGTTTCTTAGTCCTAATCACTTGTTAAATGTGTCCATAAAAATCACTACACACTTTTCTTTCAACATTCATTTTGGTGTCAAAAGCGTTTAATACGCCTATATTCATGCTATCTTTTCTAATGCTTGTCTCACTCCCAATTTTTTCACTTTATTTGAAATTCCGATGCTTCGTCTAACAATTTCTTTTATAATTTGAAATTGTTTATAAAGGTTATAACCAAACGTAACTTTATCTTCAATTTCAACTCTAAAATTTTCAAATAAAGCATGTAGTAGCTCGTATATATAAGATTTAATCTATGACATTATGTCAGTAACGAAATTTGGAATTTTAAAAATTTTGACAGTCTCTAAAACATAGTTTTTGACATATATATACAAATATAATTTTGTGACCAAGGGTGTTCAATTGATCACCGTCGATCTATGTAGCTACTACTCCTCTGCATTATGTGACTATCTATTATGATATTTTATATGGTGTCTGATATTTACATTGGAACCCGAATTCATGTCGAAAAGTTCCATATTGGAGGGTAAACAGGTAAAGCACTCCATAATAAAAATGACTATGTACTCAATGAGACTCGAACCTAAAACCTTTGATTAAGTATGAAGAAATACTTATTACTTCGATACAATTCTTAGTGATATATTCATTTTAAATAAAGTGAATTATTTAATTTTCAGACAAACACCTACTTGAGCCAAAAATAAATAAAAAATAAAGGAGTAACCAACCACCTTTAGAAAGATATATTTAATTTAATTGTTTTAGCACCGCCACATGAATCTCCTTAGCTATGCCTCACGCAAATGATAGCGAAAATCAAATATTCCACTAAATCAACGGCGAAAATTATTTCAGTCAAAACAGTTGAGACTTAAGTGGGACCCATTTCAGAAGTTCCACGTGTTCCCCATCAACTGACGGTGAGTCACCCCATTCATTTTTGTCACAACTCCACACCGTTTTTTTGGTTAAATTATGCAAGTAAGTGAGTAGTAATTAAATTATAAGGTTACTACTTTATTAACTAATAAAAAAGTTTCATATCTAACATGTTTATTACTCTCTCCGATCCTAATTACTTGTCAACTTTTTCTTTTTCAGTTGTTTCTAATTACTACTTGTCTATTTTATCAAATCAAGAAAGGCCCATTTTTTTTGGCCTATTATACCTTCAATTAATCACTTTGAAAAATATAGAAATTCTTGAAACTTTTAACTTTTTAATTCATCCACTTCATAATTAATAGGGGTAAAATGGTAAACTTATTATGT